CACACAGCTGGCCGGGCGTGGTGGCTTCACGGCCTGTTATTCCAGCACTTTGGGAGGCTAGGAACGGCGGTCACGAGGGGTCAGGGAGTCGAGACCCATCCTGGGCTAAACACGGTGGGGAAACCCCCGTCTCTCCCTTAAAAAATACAAAAAAAATAGCCCGGGGGCGAGGTATGGCGGGTGCCTGTAGTTCCAGCACCTCCGGAGGCTTGAGGCCAGGAAGATGGCGGTTACACCGGGACGGTGGAGGCTTGCAGGTGAGGCTGAATTAGGCCCAAACTGCCTCCCAGGGCCTGGGCGACAGAAGGCGGGAGGGAACTCCGTCTCAAAAAAAAGGAAAAAAAAAAGTAAACACACCCCACAGCTTAATGGACCCCCTGAGGCTGGAAACGGGGGCCCAAAACCCTGGGATCATTTGGGTGGTTCCGGCGCCCAATACCCAACCCACGTTTTCCTTTGGAAAAAGGTCTGACAAAACCCTTTCTCGCCAGCAAATTGGCAACCCCTCACCCCACCCCACCCGGGCCCCACTCCCAACCCCAAGTTTATTGCAGCTTGTGACCTTCCCCCTGCAAGCACTGCCCGGCAATGTCTTGGGAGAAATTTTTTCCAGTCGGGCCCTGAGCCACCCCTGCACACAAGGCAAGAGGAAAGTGCCAAGTCATTAACAACCTGGGCCTGGCTCTGCAGGGCTTGGGCCTCAGCGTTCCTCAGAAATCCCAGGCCTCCTGTAGCACAGGGTCATCATTAGAGCCTCAGGTCCCCTTCCCCTCCCAGCGCTTCTGAGATCACCTCCCCTACGTCGCTTACCTTGAATCCTTTTGTTTCTGTCTCTGCTCCTGGGGGAATCCAAACCCGACTCCACCCCACTTTCCAATACCGACAGCTCACACTGATAAACTGTGAGTCTCTGCCAAGCGCTGTTCTGGGATGCCTTGATGTGTTAGAGCACTCAAGCCTCACAACAAGTGGGGAAACTGAGGCTTGGGGCATCTGAATAACCCAGCCTCTTTCACTCGGCTACAGGTGGTGGAACTGGAGGTTCAAACTGGGCATTCCTGGCCCCACAAAAACCATAACCCACGGTGGGCTGTTTCATTATCTTTCTTGCTCTTATGAAGAAACTTTGGCTGAGCCTTAGAGGTGGGGACAAGAAGGCAGAAGGTGAGGAAAGGTGACCTGTGTGCCCTGAGGAATGAGGAATGGGTGGATAAGGGGAAACTTCGCACTAGGCTCCAGCCAGAGCAGCCAGTTCACTGGAACTCAAAAGCACCCTGTGCTGCATGCTGGCCCTGGCAGGGAGGGGTCTTTGGGACCCAGTAACATGTCAGAGTCCTGCTCTGAGAGGTCATCAAAATGGACAAGAAAAAGCCTCCATTCTCAAGTAGGCAGAGTCCACTGCCACACTCCCAAGACAAAGTGCGGAAAAGGCCCATCTGCCTGGGACCCAAGGAATAGGGGCAGAAAGGAGCCAGGATGCCCGAGGAGAGGCCAGGGGGATAAAAGGCAGGCGGGATGGCAGCAAAGGAGAAGCTTCGGGGCTCCCATGGCAGGTTGAAAGCGTGGCTGCAAATTCCTGAACGCTTCTTCCTCAAGAGGTGGTGTTTCTGCCCATTCCTCTTGAACCTGGGAGGGCTTGTTTGTCCAGTTCAGCGATGGCTGGGTCACAAACAGCCGTTCAGCTTCCCCTTTGTCCATGGGACTGCCCTGACACTGCCATACTGTGAGGAAGCCCAGGCTCCATAGAGAAGCCACAAGTCAATATTCTCACAGTATCCCAACTGTGCCCAGCCTCACCTCCTTCCAGAGCAAGCACCAGACATGTGAATGAAAAAGCTTCTAGGTGGTTCTATCCGCGGGCCTTCAAGTCACTCTCGGCTGTTCCCAGCTAAGATTCCAGACATTGCAGAGCAGAGCAAAGCCAAACACCACTGTACCCCGTCTAAATTTTGACCCACAAAATAAAGTGCTTTTTATACCACTAAGTTTAGGAATAGTTTGTTACACAAAAAGAGGAGACTGAAGCCCATCCCCATCCCTGGCAGACTCCATCTAAACTGAAAAGTAGCCCAGAGAAAATAGGAAAGAAATAATGTACACGCTCTTCTCAACTCCTGAGATGTTCCAGTTGGATTGTGATAAAAGATGAACACTTGTGGGCACCTCTCGTCCACAGACACACTGCAAGGCAAAACATCGAGTCAAATAAGTTTGGGAAATGCTGGTTTAAATGGGCTTCTTACCATGAGCAAGGCCTTTTAACAGGTTAATGAATGGTGTGCTTGAAGGGAATGCCTGAGATCAGGTGTGCCCTGGGGCCAGGACATTTGTCATTCTCCTCCTACGTGTAGTAAAAGCAGCTAGATTTTCCACTGAGAAACTGCCACCCCCCACTCTCAGCCCACTGGGTTGTTAAAATTACAGTCATTAATTATAGATTGTTCTTTAGAATTTCTAAACATTTCTGAGTAATTGGATTGCAAAACTTTCTATTATGGAGAGTCTGAATCACGCACAGGAGCCATTTCTTCCTGATTCCCACAGTTGCTTCTTTATGGGGAGAAAGTGTCTCTGTGGCAGGCATGGATGGCTGCCCAGTGAAGCCCTTTCAGGAGGATTTTCTCAGGATTTCTAGGACTCAGCGGATCCTGAGGATGCTGGGACCCAGGGGTCATCATCTCCAGGCTTCTGGACATTACGACGGCAAGCAAAAATGTTGTGTCCCAGATGGATTTTGCATATGTTTTTTTGAGACGGAGTCTCACTCTATCACCCAGGCAGGAGTGCGGTGGCGTGATCTCGGCTCACTGCAACCTCCACCCCCTGGGTTCAAGTGAGTCTTGTCTCAACCTCCCAAGTAGCTGGGATTACAGGTGCCTGCTACCATGCCTGGCTAATTTTTGTATTTTTTTTTTTTTTAGTAGAGACAGAGCGTCATCATGTTGGCCAGGCTGGTTTCGAACTCCTAACCTCAAGTGACCCACCCATCTTGGCCTCCCAAAGTGGAATTTTGCAAAAGTTAATGAACTAAGTGGCAATCACTCAGAAAGGGATTGTTGAAATATCTTAACTTCTTAAAACATTTTTAAAATACCAAGAGTGGAGATGGTTTGTTTGTCAGGATGTCCCATCAGCCCGTCCCCACCAGCTTCCCTTCAGGGCCCAGAGCTAACTGGCCAGTGCGGGGTCAGCATCTCAAGTCAGTTCACATCCAGGGCCCTCACAGCATTCTCTAGAAACCACAGTTCTTACAGAAGCATCCTGTCCCCAAATTTCCTCCTCTGCAAATGAAAACGCTCCCCACTCCCGCCTCTCCCCGAGCTTGCTACAAGAAGTGGACTAGGAAGGATTTGTCGACTGTCTGCACGACAGCGTTGACCTCTGGGGAGACAACAGACAATATCAACTTTCCACATTTGGCCCTGAATCCACAGGACGGAGAAGAGCTTGCTTGTAAACAAAATTCCTACTTGCAGTGTGCGGACGTGAGTGTGACTCATGGCAAAGACCCCTAAGACAGTGAGTGACGGACCCAGCTGCTGACCTTTTGCGTGGGGTGTTAGCAAGCCCCCCAGTTCAAGGATGGCAGCAAGATCTGGTCATGAAGCCTCTCAGGCTAAGCTGTCCTCCTGGGACATAGATGGCTCTCAGTCAGACACGTATGAGCCTGTGCCTCAGTTTCCTCATCTGTAAGCTAGAAATGAAGAACAGGCCCAGTCTCACTGGGCTCGTATGAGGGCAGAGGAGAGACCAGACATGGCCTTGCGGATGAGACGTGCTGGGGAACGTCTCTCCACCTGGGTTGGCCGGCCCCGCATCTCCCCGAATTGATGGGTTTTGTTGTGTTGATGGATGGCAATGCCCCACTAGGTTGGAAGTCATCTCTGTGACTGCCAGCCTTGGTCCCTCATGTCCTCGCTGTCTCCTCAGGGCCTAGCACAGCGAGATGTGCTTAAATAGGACACACACCCCAGCCACGTGTGGCCGACCTGACCAGGGAGGCCTCGTACAAATCACCCCCAGCTGCCTCCAGGAAAGTGAAATCAGCACAAGACCCCACCTCCTCCACACCCTTCCACACACTCATCCGTCAGCTCACAGAAACCCAAACAGGCCCTCATTCAGAATAAAAACACTGGAGAATGTTTTTATTCCATACGATCCGTCCAAGTCTCCCTATCTTTTTGCTGTTGTTTTAGGGATATGTTGGGGGAAAAAAAAGATCCTTAAAACAGGAGTTGGGTGAGGTGGCTCACACCTGTAAACCCAGCACTTTGGGAGGCCAGGGGAGAGGTTGGGGCAGATCACGAGGCCAGAAGTTCAAGACCAGCCTGGGCAAAATGGTGAAATCCCAACTCTAACTAAAATATATATATATATATATGGCAGATGTGGTAGCGCATGCCTGTAATCCCAGCTACTTGGGAGGCTGAGGCATAAGAATCGCTTGAGGCAGGGCACGGTGGCTCAAGCCTGTAATCCCAGCACTTTGGGAGGCCAAGATGGGCAGATCACGAGGTCAGGAGATTGAGACCATCCTGGCTAACATGGTGAAACCCCGTCTCTACTAAAAAATACAAAAAACTAGCTGGGCGCGGTGGCGGGCGCCTGTAGTCCCAGCTACTCAGGAGGCTGAGGCAGGAGAATGGCATGAACCCGGGAGGCAGAGCTTGCAGTGAGCTGAGATCAGGCCACTGAACTCCAGCCTGGGTGACAGAGCGAGACCGTCTCAAAAGAAAAAAAAAAAAAAAGAATCGCTTGAACCTGGGAAGTGGAAGTTGCAGTGAGCCGAGATCGTACCGCTGCACTCCAGCCTAGGTACAAGACATTGTCTCAAAAAAAAAAAAAAAATCCTTAAAATCCCAGTGCAATATTGTTTTAGTCCAGCGCACTGAATTAAACCTGCACGTTGCAGCCGTAACTCCCCCTTTACAGAACCCAGAATCTGGTGAGAATTGCATCGTATTTGACAGTGAGGAAAAAAATACAGTACACAGCAGTTTTAAAAAAGAGCATTTTATTTTAACAAAGAATAAAAGAGATCAATATACTGTAAATGGGTACAAAAATAAATATTCATTCAGCATATTAAAGATATGTGCTTTGACATTCATTTGAATTGGAGATTCAAGCCTATTGTTATCTTATGAACACTTCAGCAAACAGGTCTGGCATTCTTAAAAATATAATGCTTTGTTGGACAAAACGGAAAAGGCACGTCCCCTGGTCTTCTCCTCGATTCACCTGTGAGCTCATCCACATCTAAAGGACCTCTGGGTCTGACTGTCACCTCCACAGGCATGGCGCTGGGAAAAGGAAACTGGTTTTTCATATTTTAAACCAGACACTCTCACGGTCACAAATCCACCATGTCACATGAGACTTGGGAGATGGGATGAGCTGTCTCCCAAACCCCAACACCTTCCACCTTCTCAAAATGAAGGCTGACAGGTGAGGCCCCTTCCTGCCCTTTCACTGGGAGATTCTGAATGTGGGATGGTGCTGACTCAGGCTGGGCACAAAGGAGAAAGAAGGACATGGAAAATCCGACAATTCAAAGTAGAAATATTTTAAACATATGTGAAAAACATTTGGAAAGAAGACAAGAGATATCTGGGATGATTTCATTACAGAAATGAAAAAAAAATAAATTTAGTTCTAATCTTCCTGGCAACAAAGCCCCAGAGGAGAAGGATTGTCTGAATATAAAAATATACCCGTTTGCCTGGATATGAAGACATATTCCTGCACCGAATTCTAGAAAGAATATACTTTCTTCTAACAAGTCAAGAGTTTTTCTTGCACTCATTAAAGGGGGGTTTGTATCTAAATATTTTAAAATCTTATTAAAATGCATAAAAGTAAAAAGATATTTCATATAGAATCAAGCCTATGAAATCATAAATCTATAATTCTAACAAAAGATAAAGACAAAAACAACCTTGTTTTCACGAGTTGATTTTTAAACTCCAAATTCCTTTATTCGAAGCAGCTATCTGCTAATATTACTGAACGACAAGTCTTTGGAAATGATAGTTAACCAAAAATGCAGAAAGAATCACAGCAACTAATGATAATGAAGGGGAAAATGTAGAAAATAAAATGTTTAGCCACACGTTGGGGTTACAGCATCCAGGCCACCACTGACATCTCAGCAGGGCTATGCCGCCACTTTGTATTAAACGTCTACTCCTCCGAGAATGCCCTCACTAAATTAAGTGCAAAGTAAGGCATCCCACCCCAGACAGAGGGATCCACATCCTTTAATCATGATGCAGGCCACTGCAATAGGGAGATGGATGCAGGACGCAGCCAGGGTGGGGCGCCCAAGCGACACACTTAGACGGTGATCTGTTGGTTTTCTCTGAAAAACGGTCTCTGGTGTGAGGCACAAATATCTGGAAACATCCGGAAGACCTGGTCTGGCGGTGGCTCCTCGGGGGCCTGCATCACGGAGCCGGCTCCACAGCTCTTCCCAGCCTCTTCTGCCAGCTGCCGGACATAGAGCTGCTCAATCTAGATGGGAGGTACAGAAAGTCAGAGGTGGAGGCGGAGGCTCCAAAGGGGATGTGCACTGTCTTTGACCCTAGCCAGGTCCTCTGATGACCCCAGTGCCACGTGAGTCCCAAGTGAATGAGCCAGAATGCCAAGAAAGGGTAAGCAGTACTCCTGCCAACACTGTTCCATACTCCCCAGTACTATTCCAGCTGGGACAGCCAGCACCCGGAATCCCACCATTAAAGATTAATTCCTTTGACCACATGAAATAAGGGCTGACAGTGCCCTAATCTGTCACTTAGACCTTCAGGCAACTGAACAGGTAGAATCTTTCTGGATAAGAGGCTTAGATTTAAAAAACAAAAAAGAAAAGCAGAAAACACACACACACACAGATTATGCGCCTCCCAGACACCAGAAGATGGCTCGGAGATGGCAAGAATCTGTTTCCCCCATATTGAAGGTCTTGCCCAGGCCTGCCTCCTACACAGGTGGAAATTCCGTCCTTGTGACCTCTTCTCCAGCCTAAAACTTGATCCTTACATGAGGGGGCCAGGAGACCTGAATGCAGGGCTCAAAGGTGCCCATAAGGCCGGGAAGCGGTGGCTCACGCCTGTAATCCCAGCACTTTGGGAGGCCGAGGCAGGCGGATCACGAGGTCGAGACCATCCCGGCCAACTTGGTGAAACCCCATCTCAACTAAAAATACAAAAAATTAGCTGAGCGTGGTGGCACGGGCCTGTAGTTCCAGCAACTCGGGAGGCTGAGGCAGGAGAATCGCTTGAACCCGGGAGGTGGAGGTTGCAGTGAGCCAAGGTCATGCCATTGCACTCCAGCTTGGGCAACAGAGCAAGACTCCATCTTGAAAAAAAAAAAAACAAACCTGCCCATACTTACCTGCACGAGAATGAGTTTGGAGCGCAAGGGAGCCATATCCGGAAACTCTTCCCCAAAGCACAGCACCACCCTGCCGTCGGGAAGCCGGCCCTGGCTGTTATAAAACTGCTGCAGCTCTGGAATGACACAGGCAGAGGGTGTTGGCAAGCAAGGCCGAGATGACCTCCAACTCCCGCAGCAGCAGGGCTGGGGGATCAGGAGGCCCAGGGCTTAGCAGGGGCTGGGGGATCAGGAGATTAGGGGCTTAGCAGGGGTACTGCAGCAGGTAGGCCAGGGCACCGTGGGATCTCAAACTGGTGGCCCTTGGGCCAAATTCCAAGCAAGGAGCTGTTGGTTTGGCCATTTCAGGTTGTTGCCGGGATTTTAAGGCCTGAGTTGAACGCCTCTCCATGGGCACAGCTGCTCAATGCTCCCTCTTATCTCTCGAGAATTCGTGCATTGCTCTTACCTGCCTGGCCCCTGGAGGCAACTGAGTTTGCAACCACCACCTGATGACACCAGGGAGGGCTGCGGCCCTCACCCGATTCTCTGACAGCCAAGTGAAAGGGTCTCAAAGTGGGGCCAGTGGACCAGCAGCAGTTGCCTTCCCTGGGAGTTCATTAGAAATGCAGAATCTTGGGCCCTGCCTCAGACCCATGGAGTCAGAGGATGTGAGGCAGCCCCAGGAATCTATGTGGCAGGACGCCCCTCCATGCCGTGCCGTGCCGTGCTGCCTGCTCAGGGGTGATAACCCTGGCCTCACACCCCCTCATTAGAGGGATTCCTCAGGGCTTATGCACCTGAGCCCACACGCGCCACCACACCTGCCCTTCCAGGCCCCGCCTCTGGGAGTTCTCAGGCCAATGGCAGCTGAGACCTGACACTAGCTCGGGCTGCTGCAGGGAGAGGAGCAGAGAGCATGGGGACATGGAGAAGGGAGCCGCCGTCCTAGCCCTCCAGAAGACACCCAGGCTGGGATCCTACACATCCTCCTCACAGAATAATGAAAGCTGATGGGCAGCACTTAGTGCATGCAGCTGCCATCCTGGGCACTTAGAGTGCGGAAAGTCAGCGTATCTCACGACCTGCACACAGGTCCCCAGAGACCTTACTAAGACACTGTTTCGGATCCTGTGGTTGGAGCAGGGCCTCAGACTCTGCATCTCTAGCCAGCGCTCAGGGTCTGTCCACAGAACATACTCCAAACAACATGAGGTTAAGTTCCTTTACCCTCCCGACAATCCCCTGAGGAGGGTACTGATTCTGCACCCCCACTGTACACACGGGGAAGTTGAAGCACAGAGAAGCACCCCAGGATCGCTCAGTGGGAGAGGACAGAGTGCCATTCAAAGAAGCCCCTCCTTGCCACACCATGCCCCTCGCTCCTCCACATCCCTCCGTGAGACCACAGGGCCACCCTGAGCTGCAAATGGCACATGGATAGGAGGCGTGATCTCTAAGACATGGGGGCAGCAAGGTGACGACGGTACAGACCTCGGAAGAACTGGCTGGTGTCGAAGACCTGGACCACCTCGTCGCGCTCCAACTTGTTGGGCCTGCCCTTGCACACCACGGCGTTGCCGCTGCAGAACACGCGGCCCTGGCACAGCCGCTTGACGAACACGCCCTGCCGGCTGCTGTGCAGCAGCACCCCGCGCTCCAGGTGCCCGAACAGCTTCCGCGTCACCTGCCTCTGTCGCTCGCTGGGGATGGCGTCAGCCGGTGGGAAGCGCACCAGCTCCAGGCCCTCGGGCCCATACAGCTTGGTGCCAGGTAGCCCAGGCTGGCTCAGGGACAGGCGGCAGCCCTCGGGGCAGGTGGTGGTGGCCTGGCCCACCAGCTTGCCCCCATAGTAGAAGCTGATCACCATCTGGGAGAACGCTGTGGACGAGAGGGACACGATGAGGGTGCTGCGGGGAGACACACAGGGTCCCTCCTGCCCAAGTGCACAGTCTGTCTCAAACCCACACGGGTAACTCTTTGTGTTTCTTGAACCACTTTGATAATTCTGGGAAAATCCGTGTACTGCTTGTAGAAGTAATGTTTTTATACGCATGAACAAATCTACAGAATGACTAAGGAAACCAATGACAGAAACTATGAACTACAACAGCGTTCTCTGCTCCTCTTCACTGACTCTTTAACTACAACGTCTAGAGAAGGTCTGGTAACTGTTGTAATTTACACGGCAGGCTGACGGCCAACGATGTTTCGACAATTGTCATTTCTTATGATGATACTCTGTCTCAGAGGCACTGCTAAGGACACTGTGGTCTGCTTTCTACATTCATACCAAAAGGAAATGCTCAATTTAAACCTGAAGTTAAAAAAATAAAGACATAATCTTTTTCTCAACAAATTCACAGTGCCCTTGGTATTTCCTGGATTTCAGATTAAGAATCTCTGCAAAACCCTCATCCAAATCTGTTCTCAGGAAAGAGTCTGAAAAACACTCCAACTAAAGCAGGGGTTCCCCAAATGTGGCACACACAGAATAATGGGGGAGGGGTGATACATGTAATCACAAGATTATTCCATCTTCAATACTCCCCCAACCTCTGATTACGATTACCTCAAAAAGCAAGCCTCAGTTTGGTGCTGATGGCTCTCTAACACTCAACACCTGTCAACCTCCCCTTTTGAATAATGGCACTGAACTTAGGGCTCCAAATTCAGGACATTGTTGGACGTCAAGACAAATTCAATGAAAGCCAAATACAATCTTAGTCAATTCTAGCCAGACAGTGTCACCTACTTATACCAGGTGGTACAGGTCTTCCTTTACAGGCAATGATAGTGGCTTCTCACTTAAAATAAGCTTTAAAAATTCAGACTTGAGGAAAAATATGATGTTAATAACAGTCCAGGCTGTGAAAATCAGTTGTGACAGTGGACCTCAAGTGACCAAAGTTTGGAAAACACTAAACTAAGGTAGGAATGCAGATAACATGTAAATGCAGGGAGGTATCTGCATTTTAATCGCCTTAAACCAAAAGAATTACATACGCTAGCAATGAGCTTAGTGAGTTCGGAGCTCCTTCTAAGTACCCCAAACCAGTTCAAGGCTGCCTTGTGGAGCCACACAAATTGTGAGGTGCCCAACTCCATGGCGCCCCCTAGAGTTGTGCGAGGCACCACATCTGGGGAGGCCTGGAGGCCATCTGTGGTCCCTGCAGACACTGCTGGGCACTCAGAACTCCTTGGACCCTCCCACTGGGCTCTGCTCCCTGCCTTATTATTTGACAACCCACCATTCACGGGCTCCATTTCCAGCCATGCTGGAGTTACACAGGTTCTAGAATCATGCAGGGTAGGAAGCCAGAGCTGCAGGCGCTCTGGTCCACCTCATTGATTTGACACTTGAACCGAAGCCTAGAGAGGGTCACCCAGAAGGAAATGGCAGCACTGGTCTCGCTCTTCCCTGCTCACCATCCTCCCTGCTGGCCTCACTCTTCCCTGCTCACCATCCTCCCCACTGGCCTCGCTCCTCCTCACTCAACATCTTCCCCACTGGCCTCGCTCCTCCTCACTCACCATCTTCCCCACTGGCCTCGCTCTTCCCTGCTCACTATCTTCCCCCCACGCCAAGTCTGCAACTTCTGCGCTGCCTGCTGACTCCACACACTCCGCTTCCTTCACCCTGAAGCAACTTTCGAACTTTGTTCCAAAGGAATGAAACGCTTCAGGCAACTCCGTCACCCCTTTGGCCCTTTGCCCTGTCATTTCCGGGGCCTTATCTTGGTACCAGCACCTCTCAGTCATGTGAACAGAACAGCTAAGTGCTTCAGAGACACCTGTGCAGGAGTGTCTTAGTGACCACACGCCACAGAACGTCTTATGCTGAGAGAAGGTTCCAGCTATTAGGCTTGCACCTGACAGGTGAGAAGCCACTCACCAAGGGCTGCCCAGGTGGGGCAGGTGAGCCTTCTGCAACACTAAGGGCCCCACTGCCACCCAGCCCTGCCCTTGCAACCCACAAGAGCAGCCGTGCTGGAGAACGGCCTGACCACAGAGGCAGCAACAAAGATGCCCACAGCGCAGACCCTGCAGCCCACCTGCCTGACGTGCGGTCCCAGCGCAGCCGCTGCCCAGCTGGATGACCTCGGGCAAGCCGCTTCCCCACTCTGCCTCAGGTTTTCATCAGCAAAGCAGATAAAACAGCATCCACCTCACTGGGCTGCTGTGAGGATTATCGGAGCTTGTATTTGTGCTTGGCACAGGTAAGCACCAGTTAAAGAAACTGGGTAACAGGACAAATGCTTATCTACGCAGACAAGACTCCTGAAGTTATAAATCATAGCCTACGGTCTACACAGCACCCACCAGGTGCTGTGTCCAGGGCACGGGATCTACCAGCACACTTAACCCTGAAAGGTAGATTATTAATGATTATACCCATTTTCCAGGTGAGGAAACTGAGGCATGGATTTACACAGAGGTGGGGGTGGGGCTGGACAGAGGTACAAAGCTCACAGCTTCTAGAAGGACGTTTAGGATGCTCTGTGCATGAGGCAGTGGCTGTGACTCTGCTGGACTAATTCAAGGACATGCTCTCCCCAAATTGTGTCTCTGCATCTTGCTGAGACGACTCAGTTCTGTGCCTGGCTACTCCACAGCCCCCGGAAAGCATCGGTCAGCAGACTCCCAGGTCACAGCCAGGTGGCTGGTGAGCCCAGAGTCAGCCCCATGACCCAGGGCCTCCCAGAACTGAGCTCCTGTGGCAGCTGCCAGGCACAAGGAGGCCTCAAGAACAGGCTCTGGTCAGAGGCCTGCGTGACCTGGATGAGACCCTGAACTCTCAGTCTCAGTCTCCTCATCTGTGAAGCTGGAGTGAAAACAACCCCCAGCTCAAAGGGCTGCTGGGAAACAGACAAGAACTTCATGGACAGGGCACTGTCATCTCGGTAGTTTTCTTGCCTGGGTGAGAACCAACCTCCACAACCCAAAAAACTGTCCCATGCAGACCTCGGCCAGCATGCTCCTATCCCGGCCCCATTTCCTCCTCTGCCCAGAGGCCCAGCCCTAACGTCTGTGGCCCATCTGATGAGACCAGCTGCTGGCCTCCCACAGAACCAGCCAATGCTGGAAGATGCCCCGGCTTCCCTGTTCAGAAGATGCTGTCACCATGCCTGAGTGTCAGTTCCAGGGGCAGCTGGCAGAAGTGCAGCCAGGGTCCTTAGCTGCTGAGACTACACACAAAGGCCACCTCTGCCCACTGCAGGCGGGTGTGGGGACGGGACAGCTGTGGGGAGGCCCCCACTCTGTAGCACACAAAGCTACGTGACCAGGGCTCCTGAGCCCGGGAAATAGGAACAGCCGCACCCACTAGAGGTGGCAGGCACGGGAGCCTGAGATAAGGCTCTGAGAGGCTCCATCACTCCACCTGCGGCCCCCAAAGAGGGGCAGCACTGGCATGGATGCTGGCCTGTCCCTCCCTCTCTCTCCTGCAGTTACAGCCTCAAAGAGCACTCTGTCTACTTGCTGTTTCAATCCAAGAAAAGGCTCAAAAGAGGCCACTCGCCTGCCCCTGACCAAATGGTGAGGAGGAGAAATCGGGGCCTCGACTTCCACACCAGGTCCTGCTCATCCACAGAACCCCGCAACCCTGCTTGGGTCATCTGGGCTTTGTTCAAACAGTGCCCGTGCCCCGCTCAGCCCGGACCACCCCGTACCTGAATGGTGCGCGTCGTAGGCGGTGTACCCCGTCACCAGCGACACGCCTGCGGGAGAAACAGAGAAGCAAGCTCAGAGCCACCCAGGTGTGGTGCCCAGGGAGCCACCCCAATCGTTCCTTCTCCAAGTCCCTTAAAAGGCTGCACATGGCGGGCCAGAGGCCCCAGGGAGCACAGGCTTCCGCTGAATTCAGTGCTTTTCCCCACCGGAGCAGACAGCCATTGTTTCACAAATGCAGAAAACCAGAGTGGCAAGTCGGGAGGACTTCCTCTATGCTGTGGGATTTCTGATCATGTGTCAGTGTGACACTGTGGGGCCACATTTCCTTCCCACCTCAAGCACTTGCCCCCAGAATACCACTGGACTGCATACCCACCACCCAGGGCTTCTCTCTCGGGGAGAGCCTGGGCGTGCAAGCTAGCTTTCCAGAAGGTGTTCCTGCAGCACAGACAGAGGCGCCTTTCCAGGGGCCTCTCAATCAACACCCACGGCCTGGCAACCTTCAAGGCCTCCAGGGCCAGCTGCCACCTCCCAGACTCCCACAAGGGATGTGAGGCTGTGGGGAAGATGCTGAGGGAGGAAGCAACCACAGTCACGGGCTGCAGAAGCCTGGGCCTGGGGGGCGGGGGCATTTCAAGCAGCTAGGGGCTCAGAGTGGCTCATCAAAAGAGCATCAAAGGATGAAAGCCTCATTTAACCCTTGTGACTCCATGGCGCAAGTCCTGGTTTCTCCGTTTTATGGATGAATAAACTAAGGCTCAAGATCTGCAACTTCCCAGCGTGGGATTCAAATCCAGGGCTCTGAGCAAACTTCCTATTCCTGGTCTGAGTTCTCCTCTCCTCCAAATGCCCTGGGCTATCTTTGGTTCTGAGGGGTCCTTAATGTCCTAACAGACTGTCCGACTAAGGGAGCGCCCAGGGAGGGGGCGTCAGTGTGGCCAAGAGCTGCATCTTCCCTCGAGCCTTACACAAGTTCACTAGACCCTCCCCGCTGGACTTTCCGAGGAGCGTGGGGAGAGCTGGCATGGACGTCACTTAAGGAAAAAGCAGCTTGTGCCCTCCTGAGAAGCAGCGGAGAGCAGGGCCAAAGGCACAGCTGGGCTCTGCCCTCATGGTGGGAAACCAGGGCCAAGGTTCTTCACCTCTCAGGGCTCAGCTACCTTCAATGACACATGGATCATGACAGCAACAACCACCCCCACTCCGTCCCTGGCTGGGGGAATCCGTAAACCCCTTCAGGCCATGCCTGGTGACAATTCTGGGCCACCCACCCTCACCTGTGCTGGGCTGCTGCGCCCACCAGTCTGGAAGGAGCTGACTCCGACAGGCCTCCGGCGGGGAAGGGCTCCTTTTGATCATCCCCATGTAATCGTCCACAGAAGGCTGCACAGTCAGGGGAGGGAGAGGAGGGCAGCTCAGTCACTGATCTCCCACCTGGGGCTCCAGTGTTTGTAAAAATGAACAGTTCATGTGTAACTAAAACCATATTGTCCCCTTTATCTCAGGACACAAAAGTCAAGCTTCACTTTGCAACCTGAAAGGCCCCAGGCCTTAAATCTACCGGGCTTAGCATTCAAACCATGTGGCCAAATTACTAGGCTCTCTGGGGGCCGCTAATAAGTTTCTTGGTCCTTTCCAGGACCTGCCTGTTGCAGACCCAGCGTTCCAAGTTATCCAACTGCCCCCAAAGCCCTGGACACACAGACAAGCTCTGAGACACCAATGAACGGTGATGCTGGCCAAAGGCTGCCATGCTTTCAAGAATCTCACTCAATGAGCCACACGCAGATGTTTAATCTCTGGCCCATTCCTTAAAGGAGGCTGATAAATCCAATTATGAAATGTTTTGAAATTGCTTTTCTTGTGACCCTGGTGTAGCAATCCAATTATCTCACTCTCTCGGCTGAGTCAGCAGAAAAGCCTTCTACAGAAAACAGGACATTGGTGGAGGGCCACGAAGCCAAGAGTTCACTCAGTCGGCTGCCAAAGACCACCCAGACACTTGGCCGCTGCCTCTGCAGAAGAGCAAGGCCGTTCGGGTAGGTGACATTCTGTTATCTTCACTCTCTGACAGCCTAGCTACTCTTAAGGATTCCATTATTGCTGTTATTAAGAAGAAGAATTTAGACAGTACTCACACCACCTTTTGCAAAGGCTGCGTGAAGTTTAGTTATGCAAATGTCCAGCTTGTAATACCCATAAAAAGCATAGTTAAGAGGCCAAAGACAGAAGAAAGGGGCATCCCAATAGCTGAAACGGGCATACAAAAGCCATGTGTTCTTGCCTAAGGAGGCCCCGATTACCCTCTCCCTTGTAGCCTATGAGGAGTTTATGTGCAATTTGAACATGCTTGGTTATCCAGTTTTCTAATTCGTTAAGGAATAAAACCTGCACATTAAAAAGGAAGCAATCAAATAGGCATGAGAGCTGGTACAACACACCACGCCACCATGACAAGCACAGGCAGCAAGGAAAGTTTACATTTTGTTCTCTGCAGCCTGCTAGGAAGGCAAGGGAATTCACGATGCCATTTAAAAGACTGCTGTCCAAAATGTTCAAAATGTTTGAACAGTTTGGAGCTGGAAAGAACTTCACCAACACATAACAGGCAGCTCAGGCCCAGCCCTAGGGATGAAGGAGGGACTGACCTGTCGGCAGAGGCCAACCTGGGGAGGGGGCACCGAGCCAGTCCCGTTCCAGCTCTGCACAGGTGGAGATGCCACTTCCTAAGAGAGCCCGAGGCTCTGGCTGCCTTCATCCAGCAAGAACGGTGCCCGTCCCTGACAGATGACATGAGACTTGCCCTGGCAGGGCCAGACCCCTGAAACGCTGCCTCTGCTTACCTCCTTGATCAGCTCGTCGATTTCAGAGCGACCGCACTCCATCTCTGTGACTTCATTCACGCAGCCAGCAGTTGCCACGCCTAGTTTGCCTATAGAAAACCAGACAAACACCATGACACATGGCACGGAGGCATCACAGCCTTCGCTGAAGCCATGATCCACTCTGAAAATGCTGAGTTTAAGGAAACGTTAAGTTAGTGAGTGTCTTCATTGGTTTGGGAAAGACGCAGAATTTTTTTCCCATGCTTCAGTCATCTGATCAGCAAAGTCAAAAGAGAGAAGTTGGTGGCCGTGGTGGTGGTTGTTTCTGCTAACACTTTTAAAGGATAAAGACAGCATTTTGGTCTCTTTCTTCTATTTTCTGAAGTCCAAAAGGAATCTGTATCAGATATACTTTACAGCAAGCATTCGCTAACCTAAGAAGGTTACATTTATAAGCCAGGGCATTTGAAAACACTCAAAGATTTCCTGGCAAAATGTGTTGGCAGGTTGGGGTCTTTTTTGTATTGCCAGTTGGCAGGAAATCTCTTTATGGCCTTTCCAAATATACACATGTGCATCAGTGCACACAGCCATGCCCACACACGCACCGCAGCACCCTCACTGATGCCCAGTGGGCACCAGCCGTAATCACAAACCGCCTAAAGGTGCACAGCGTCCACAGGAGCACGCTGGGCCAGCCTCTGCTCTTTCCCTTCTCATGCCGCTTCCTCAGTCGACAACTTACCTTACGAAGTTTATCAGTGTGAGACATATCACAACCAACAAACACAAAAATTCATTATTCCCAGTGACCTACAGAATTTACCCACTGTTTCCTCCTGGCTGAATTTGGATTCCATTTCGATAGATTGAAGAATTCACTGAGAAGCTACTGATGGGGAAGTAGGGAGCAGGTGGGGCGCCCACCATGGAGCCTGCAAACCACTGAAGTTCAGAGGAGAGTGGGCCCCTGTAGGCAATTATGCAAATGCTACGTTGCTTCACCCCTGAGAACCTCCTGCTGCTTCTTTAACATCACTATCAGGTGATGCTGGCCACACCCCATGCTATAAACAAGTTGGGGTCGCCTGCCGGTTCAAGCCGCCTGCCGGTTCAAGCCCCAAGACTCATCTTGGGGGTGGGAGTGGAGGCCAAAAGAAACTTCTCTATTCCTTCAAATCACAATTTACTCTTTGGTGACAAAAAAAAATTGCCCAAAACTGGGAAATGAGGCAAAAAGATGACTGCTTAGCCTTTCAGGGCCACCCCGGACTATTATGTAGAGATTTCCTCCTGGAGGCACCCGATTCTCCAAGGGAAGGTCAGTTTGTTGGCCTTACTATTTAGTATTGATCAGGGTTCAGGGTCAGTAGAGTTAGCTGTTAACTATGGATGATTAGGCAACAAACGCCCCAAACCGCAGTTGTACTGTCCGGGTCGGGCATCAGGTTTGGCTCAGCTTTCTCGTTCATGGGCCACATTCACCAGCGCCTCGGGTTCTCTGTCCACCGTCTTCACCACCATGCTGCCTCCCTCATAACGATTAAACAACTCTCTGACACAGATTCGCTATGTATTTGTTTGAGTCACAATTTTAACTTTTAAAAAAATTCTAAGTCAACACCCCCACAGTGGGAAGGTCAAAACGTCAAACTTTGCACAGCTCCAAGAAGTTTTGGGGGTTTCTATTTCTTACAGGCATTCATGGACTACTCAGAAGCTTAAAAGGAGAAAGTCAGAGTGGGTTATTCTAAAAGCCCCATTAAGTGGCTCAGAAAATCAATGTGTTAAAAGCATGTTGTAAACCAGTGCTGGTAATTAGGTTTTATCTCATAAATCAGCTACAGTTCACAGCAGCGGCACAGCACAGGGCTTTGAGAAGGATTCTGAGGCCAGATCCCAGCTCAGCACTTTGGGACTGATTTTAGTGATGTAGGACCAGGGTGCGGCATGTTTTTGCTGTCCTGCTTTAATCTGTCACAAATGTTTTCTTGGGATTTGAGAGCTGGAAGAAACCTCGGGAATGATCACATCCCAGAGTTCCCAAATAATGATCAGGATCTAATAACACATTGAGGCATATCCCATCTCCAACAGTGAAGCCCATGGCACCATCTTTGACGACTTCATCTGACAGCTTTACTCCCAACCCTCATGATCCAGTCCTTCTGCGGCCACCATATTTTCCCCCAGCCTCCTGTGCAAGCTGCTGGAAAATGAAAGGATTCCTCATCAGAAACTGCTGGAGGATGCTTATTCCTGTCCAGGGGGGCCCTACACATGTCTGTGGTCTGGCAGCAAGTGGGACACAGGCTGGGCTGCACCCAGTCTCCTCCGCCCTTCCCTCCAAGGTCACTGGAAAGAGATCTCAATCTCTGCTTATGCAAAGGAGAGAACTACTTTGTTTAACTGAAACCATGTGCCCCAGACCCTGTGTCTACCCCAGACCCAAGCTCTGTGGTGAAGGCTGCAGGCCAGGGCAGCTTCCGGAAGGTTTCATACCCATAAAGGATAGTTACATTTTTGCTCTTCCTCAGGAACAATTCGGTAAACTTTGTATGGCTCGGAAATGTCCAGCTGGGACCGGTCCGTCACTTCCTCAAAATCTGGGCTCTTATTCAAAGCACAGCGTAACCTCGTCTTCCAAGTGGCTGGTTCAGCTTTGTCCCCTTCTTTAAACTTCCCTTTAAAAACTGCCCAGGCCTGAAGAAAGAAACAGAAGCACATTAAATTCACGGCCGACTCCAATCACAAATATCTGTCACCATGACCAGGACCCCACACATCTTTCCCTTCCCACGAGTCTTTGTTGGCCATCAACTCTCATTCAATTTCAGGACCCAAGGCGACTCCAATCAGATGTCTGGAGACCAGATGTGAAAAGACCCAAGCCAGGGAGGGGGTCCTCCAGGTTCACACAGCTGAGTCAGAAGTCAAACCCAGGCCGAAGGCTCCTCCAACCCTGGAGTGTGCCTTTTAGCCAAGCCCTTCCCTGGCTGAAGAGCTGGAGACACCTGAGGTTTACACAGCACAAAGAGGAAGCTGCATATGGTTTCACCAGAGCGTTCAAAACAAAGAACAACTTGTTGCTTTTTCGGATCAACCCCTAAAATTTAGCATGAAAAGAGAACATTTGCAAAAAGTCAAAATGGTCATCCATCGCCCTGTTACTTTTAATAGAAATTTTGTTTTGCATTTTTGCATTTATTCTAGACTTTTCCCCCCAGGTGCTGTTTAAAATGTAATGAAGTATTTTCCCTTCATCGTGTGTGTGTTTTTTAACAGATCTGTTTTCTGACTTCTCCAAGCCTTAGGATCTGAACTAGGACCAGAAATTCAAAGCGGATATCTTAAAGTCATAATGTAGAATGGTGAATGGACAGGTGAATGGACAGATTTTAAGATTGCAAAACGGGAATACAGACACACTAACTAGGAGGAAACCACAGTCAGATGAGAATTATCTTCGGTTCCAGGAAAAATCAGACAGTGTCCTCCAGCCTAACATGATAGGAGATCTGGAGGGAATTCCCAACCCCATTCAGGAAAATGCAATTCCAAGAGGTAAGTAACTTTCGCACGGTCACCCAGTCTGAGATTAAATGCCAGCTGTACTCACTTCCAACCCAACAGTTTCTCCACCACTGCAAGTGTTCTCAGGTCCTGGGAAGCTTGTGAAAAATGCAGATTCCTGGGCCTTGCCCCTCAAGATTCTCACTGGGGAAGTGGGGTTGGGTCTAGGTGGCTATCTTTTTTTATTTATTTTTATTTATTTATTTATTATGTATTGAGACGGAGTCTCACTCTGTCACCAGTCTGCAATGCAGTGGCGCAATCTCAGCTCACTGCAACCTCCACCTCCCAGGTTCAAGCGAATTCTCCTGCCTCAGCCTCCCAAGTAGCTGGGACTACAGGTGCGCACCACCATGCCCAGCTAATTTTTGTATTTTTAGTAGAGACGAGGTTTCACCATGTTGGCCAGGATGGTCTTGATCTCTTGACCTCCCAGAGTGCTGGGATTACAGGCGTGAGCCACCGCACCCAGCCCAGGTAGCTGTCTTTAGCCAGTATCCCAGGGATTCGGATTTAGCTACCCAAGAGACCACACTTCCAGAAACTCCATCATGCCCCCATGAGTCACAGCTCCTTTAAAATAGCCCAGACCGTTTTTCCTCTCAAAAAAGACAAGAATGCTTACTGCTCAAGGCCAATGCTGTCTACTCTGTTGATGCAAAATGTTGCACCTCTACCTAGGGTAAAGAAATTGGAAGAACATTCCTATTAGTGAGCATAAGTGGTAGTTTCCTTATGTGACATTGATGTAAAACTCCCCGCTAAAAATATTTCTTAAAGTACACGGTCTTTAATGTTCTCCTTCATTAACTGCTTCACTGACCAGGCATTACTTTGGGTTTTGTTGCTGTTGTTTATTTTTAAAGAAATAAAAGAGCAAACCATGTACTAAATGAACTGTAGTTTCCAATTTTTATTACCTTAAATCAGGGTTTCCCCACCGTGGCAAGCCTGACATGTCAGCTGGGACCCTTCTTTGCGGTGGGGTAGTCCTGTGGATTGTAGAATATTCAGTGGCATCCCTAGCCTTGACCCACCAGATGCCAACAGCACCCCTCTCCTAGCTGTGACAACCAAAAATGTCTCCAAACATGGCCAAGTGTTCCCTGGAGGGTAAATCATGATACCTCCCCCATCTGAGAACCACTGAGTTAACCCACATCCCAAATAGGCCTTGAAATGCACAGATTTCATGGCAACATTGTGATCAGCTGGTACACATACACAGCTGTGGTGCCTGTAAGGCACTGCCATATTCACTCGTTCGTGCCAAGCTCACGCTCACCCCAAGAGCAAGGCCAGGCCACATCATCCATCGCAGCAGCGCCCATGGCCAGGAGGCATCCAGGACCACCATCGGGTATGTGGCTTGCAGCCTGCCCTGAACTCTGTGACACAGCAGGCACCTGGCCCTCTCCCAGCCTCTCTAGCCAGCATTAAAAAGTCAACTTAGCTTGATGATCTCTCAAGATCCTTCTTGAGCTGGAGCAAAAACTAGACATGAGAGTGATTTCAAGGCTCCCTGCAGCCAGCAACAGTCACTATGGCTCATTCAGCCTCCGCCATAACTTCTTTCTCCTGTTGACTCAGACCAGGAGGTCTTCCTAATTTCATATGATTGTTTCATGTTGTATTTTTTAAATTAAATGTTATTTTTCCCTTCAAGGCCTGCTGAATTGGAAAAAACTGTGCTACTGAGTTTTAACTCATTCAGGCCTGTTACGATGCCTGATACAACCATGAATCATAACCTTCACTTAACTAGATCTTCCCCCTTCTCGTCATGTCAAGGAGGTGAAGTCCTTTTTAAAAACTAAATGAGCTGATATCAGGGCCTCATCAGTGTACTCAGGGCTGGTACAAAATGAGCTCAATGTTTTTTCAATTTCTCGTCTGTGATCTATACCATGAGGGCGGCCTCAGGATGACGCCTGCAGACAATGAGGGATCTTGGGTAGCTAAATCCGAATCCCAGGGCCACTGGTATAAGTGGCCTCTTTTACCACTCACTTGTTATGGAAGAAACCAAACTCATAAATTTCTTTCTTAACTCCTAAATTGTTGAAAGGTTTTCTTTGAACAGTTGAAAGAAACAAGAGTCTACATAACCGAAAAATCCCTAAGATGGCTCTATCTGACCGAGGTTGACTTCATCCAACAGCCAAAGACCTATCCAGCCAATGTCACAGAGACAGGCCTCTCAGAGGACGGATGGGAACAAGCATAGCTCAGGGAAGCACCTGATGGGCTCTTGTTGGTGTCATGTCTCCAGTGGCACTGGTGGCCCTACCGAAGGCCTCCCTGCTCCAGTGGGCACCCGTGTCTCCCTCCTGGCCCCATTCCTGCTGAGATTGTAGACTCATTTCAGATTGCCACATCAGGCGACTGCGTAACCAACGGAAACATTGGGAATCTTGCACATTTTTCTCAACACTGTTGAAACGGCCATGAAGAACATTGCATAAGATGTATAAATCTGGGGCTTTATTTCATTACCCCCCCAGCACAAGTTGAAGCAGGGAATGGGGTGAAGGGAGAAGCTTAGTCTCTGTCAGCAAGCCACATGTCAGGGCTACACAGCCTAGTCCAGCACCCTGTGCCATGTCTTAAAGATGTTTTACTGATGTCCAACCTGCAACTGTGCCCTCAACACCCAACACCTCTGGTTAAGTCTGTTGATCCTGGCAGTGGCCAGCTCTTATCAGGGTTCTCAATGGGGAGGGGAAGACTCTGGCCCTCAGGAGACATTTGGCAATGTACAAGACATTTTTTATTGTGACAGTAGGGGAGGGGATGCTACTGGCACCTGGTGGGTAGAGGCCAGGGATGCCACAAAACATCCCACAAGGCCTAGGGAACCCTTACAACAAAGAATTGCCCAGACCCAGGCATCAACAGTGGCAAGGCAAAGAAATTCCGGCTTTTGGGGTTATCTAGAATGCAGAGTTCCCAATCGACTGGATGGGACTCTGATACTGTTTAAATCTGCAGTCCTTCCCAAGAGAAGGTCACCATGATGCCAAAGGCAAAAAAAAAAAAAAAATCTGCAATCAAACAAGAGAGAAATCCGCAACAGCACTAAGGGTGAGGAAGCAGGCAGTGGTATCACAAAACTCACTGGTGCTGAGGCTCCCTGACCTGGGGTCCTTGATCAGAAAGAATCTGGAGATGTGGGGGCACCAAGGGACCCCCTTGAAGGTGAGTGCAAAGCATTCCCTTGTCCCCATATTCCTTGGAGTGGTCAGTAATGGGCATCAGATTCTCAAGAAGACCAGCAACCTCAAATTGCAGATTTAACAGAATTACTGAAATGCACAGCCCCGCTGCAAACATCGGTCAGGCAAAGATGTGCAGGACCAAAATGCATCTTAAGCCGCCTTTGACCTATTTATGGTCCACTCTGGGGTTAAGGTGTGATCTTTTGTCATTTTTGTTCTCTGGTGTCAGGGGACAGTCATCTGTGGCTGGGAGTCCAGCACTGTCATGGGGTCCTACAGCCTTGACTCCCTCCACACCTTTTTTGTGGTCTCAGGTCTGATTCTGGCCCCCAACAACTCAGCCCCCTTTGCCCCTCTCTCACACCCACTCTCCTCTCCCCATCCCTGGCCCCCAAATGCAAGAGAATAAGCCCACATGGCAATGGCTTATAACCTGGGCTATGACTCAGTCTACGTGTAGTGTCCACATTTGCAAACGTGGAAGTCTAGGCTGACCTTGACCTAGGGCTCTGAATCTCCCAGAGGTGAAACCTGGACATCTGGAGCCTTAGGGATGCCCACACAGCACTCTGATGACCCACAAGGAACTCAATAGCCCAGCTGGTCTGCAGAGCTGGGTTGCCCCAATTCCTGGTTCCTCTGTCTGAATCTAGGTGTAACGGCAAGAAATCTCTGTTGATCAGCTATTCTGGAGTTAGGACCAAGGGTTCACAGTTGGGCCATCTTGCATTTGAATGCTGGCTCCATCATACAAGAACTGTGAGACCTCAACAAGTCACTTCTCCTCTCAGCGCCTCTATAGAATGAGGGTGGGAACAGCATCTACCACACAGGATCGTGTGAGCAGAAAACAAGCCATGGGCCAGGCCTGGCACAGAACAAACCCTCCATCACCTCTCTCCACACATGGGGAACTCATTACTCTCAAGGGAGGTAAGACCATTTTTAGACATCTGCTGCAGGTTCACAACCCCCTACACAACCCAGCCCCCAAAGGAATGACAGATGGCATCTCACCCTCCTGAGCTGGCCCTACAATGCCAGGCAGAAGTATCAGCTTTGAAAGAACAAGGACTGAAACCTTCCCTGGTATATGCATCGCCTCTAACGGAAGCCCGCGGGAAAAGGTCTTAGTGTGAGGGTCTCCAAGAAGTCTTTTCTCCCACTTGGCTCATCAGGAAAAGGAAACGGCAGAAAAGGGAAGAAAAGAGGCTTCGATCCCCTCATCAGAATACAAGTGACTATAAAAGTGACTCTGTCACTCAAGAGACGTGAAATCAGTTCATGTACATTTTTGAGACACATTCTGCACTCCTGAACCAATGTTTGCTTTTTAAAAAACTGGATTACTTTTTAAGTAAATGAGAAAGACGTCACTCAACATCTCCACCAGTCCATGAGGGAAAGGAGACACTGTGCCCACAGAGAGGAAGCGAGCTGGGGTCTTTACCTTGAAAATGGAGGCATCCACTTCCTGATTATAATCTTGCTTGCCAGCGTGTTTCCAAGGGATCCGGAACATGCTCTTCTCGTCATTCTCCCAAATCAGTCCTGGATACATGCTACTGTCAATCTGCTCGATCAGCCACTGTCGAAGCCGCCGACCACCATTTCGGTCACACATCCTTGGAAAGACAGAAACATATGCTGCGATATTACGGATATTGTCTCATTCATCACAGCAACCCAAAAACTGCTAACAGGAAACACAGAGGTTTGCAGCAAAGGTGCTGGCTTGGGGGAAACCCACAGATTCAGGGACTCCGGGACATCTGCCATGAGAAGGCAATGCTGGCCTCCGTGACCTCACAGCCCTGAATGCAAACTGAAAGCTCCGTGGGAAACCTGCAGCCACCTGAAGCCACCAGCAGCCCCCTGCGGGCCCCTCCCACTGTGCTGGCTGTGCTCCTTCCAGCTTTCACTGGCCCTTTCCTTTCAGACAGATACAGCCACAGTGAACAGCTCCAGTTTTAGCACAAGACTGGAAGGGAAGGGGAAATCACTTTTACAGCACCGGGTTCCTTCACTGAGCAGCCCATTAGCCTAAGAACCAACTGGGTTACTGGATGCCCAGCTGGCCCCATATTCCCTGATAGAATACAGCGTCTGTGCCATCTGAGAAAGAGGAGGCCCTCAGGCTAGCCCGTCTAAACAGCTGTTCCTTCACAGTGATAAGAGCATGAGTTTAAGAATGAGACAGAACCACAATCTCATTCAAGTCCTGCCACGGCTCAGCTGGGAGACCCTGGATCAGCATTTAATCTCAGGGCATCAGCTACCCAGTCCCAGATGAAACTCAGGAAAAACTACCAGTACTGGGTGTAGGGAGAACTCAGATGGTATACAGAAAGCAACTGAGACAGGGCCTGGACCTTACACGCCAGATGTCATTATTATTATCCAAACTTCCTGGGCAACTCCTATGACCAACTGAAAGACAGAGACAAGCGTGAGGGAATAAACAGCAGCTACAGAACAGGACAAAGTTCACTGGGTTCCTCTTCCAGAAGATGTCCCACTCTAGGGACCTAACCATCCCAGGGCACCCAAAGACATCCTTTGGAAGAACATTCTTACCCAAGTAGACAGCTTCCCCAACAGCACAGAGAAAGAGAGAGAGAACTAGCATGACCTATCGACTTAGAGCCAACGTTTCCAAGAACAGTGCTGGAAATCCCCGAGACAGCTGGATAGACGCCCACCCAAAAAAAAAAAAAATATATATATAGCATTTTTATTCTTCTGATTAAAGTGTGACCTCTTTGGGCAAACGAGTTTGAAACAATCAGCAATAACAAGACATAACGTCCCAAAATATGGTAGAGCCATGCTGGTCTAGAAAGGGAAATATCAATCAGAACCTTCACAAGAAGTACACATTCTGGAAACTCCAGTCACCCTGCAGGTGGCCATGAGATAGGAAACAGGGCCAGGTCCTAGGGAGGAGGAGGTGGGATTTCTTAAATTCTCCATCCAACAACCTCAGTTGGGCATTTATTGATTTAAAGGGGGTGAATTCAATTTTTTTTTCTTTAGAGACAGGGTCTTGCTCTGTCATCCAGGCAGGAGTGCAGTGGTGCTATCACAGCTTGTGGCAGCCTGGAACTCCTGGGTTTATGCGATTCTCCTGCTTCAGCCTCTTGAGTAGCTGGAACTACAGACATGTGCCACCACACCCAGATATATATTTTAGAAACAGGGTCTCGCTATGTTGCCCAGCCTGGTCTGGAACTCTTGGTCTCAAGTGATCCTCCCACCTCAGCCTCCCAAAGTGCTGCGATTACAGGTGTGAGCCACTGCGCCCACACAAATGAGACCTTGGTTTGAAAACTCAGAACTCTGGCAAAGACTTTTCTCTAACCAGACCTTGCGATGTCACTTGAGCCTCTCCCTGAGGCTTCCTCACCTGTAAGTTGAGAGGCTATATCTCAAGAGACCCAGAATTCTAAAGCAGGCCACGGTGTTTATCATAAAGAAGGGACAGACTTAGGGGAGGGTACCTGAGAAGAGAACTGGAACACCATGACCAAAGACCGCACCCCCCGCCGAAAGTTAGCAGCTCTTTCCCGGGGCAAGGTAGAAAAATTTCTCCTAGACTGAGGAATAAGCTGCATAGAGGTGGCCAGAACACAACAGAGGGGTTGGCATTTGAGAATTTCAACTAAATGAGACAGTTCCCCTGATTTCCTTGCTACAAGTTTCTTAAACTAGAATCCACAGTCCCTGAGCCTCCTGCAACCAAAAGCAAAATTTTGTTAGTACAGGCATTTTTCTAGAAAGAGGGTCAACCCTTTGTCATCAGGATTCCTAATGGATTCATAACATCTAAACTGTTGGGGACAACTGTCTTGGTGATTTACAGGAAAAAGAAATTAAAAGGAAAAAGAGAAGAGTGAGTCATAGCATCTGAAAGCTGGAAAATACTTTAGAAATCATCTAATCCAGCCCCCTCTTTACTTAACAGAGGAAAAACTGAGGCCCAGAGAGGCACGGCAAATACCAAGGCAATCAGCAGACTGTGTTGGAATCCACGCCGGCGCCCCAATCCCAGCAGCAGCTTATTTCGCACATGGTGCAGAGAAGAGCCATGGTTACATTACAAGATCTCTGCACATGTGCAGCCGCGTCTGAGTGTCCTTCGTGGTCTCCTCCAAGATTCTAAGTAACATCAAAAGCCTGAGATTCTATTACAATTATGATCCATAATGATTTATTAAACATTAACAAATTAATTCCACCAAATGCCCAGCCAGGAAAAATTAATAAGTCTAGTCACATGTTTATAACTTCCTCTTCTTGATTTTGAGGTAATCTATTGGCCAAGCCCTATCTGCAGCCCTATAAATGTACCCAGCAGTCAGGCTTTCCAGGCGAGATGTGATAAGAGGCTGCCCTGGGCCCACCTAATCCAAATTACAGGACACACCTGAGCAGGCAGCAGCAGAACCCACCCTCTCCCCTTCCTCGGAGGGCCCCAGGGCACTCGCTGTGGCCTGGCATACCCTCATCACTAGACCAGAAAGCACCAAAGCCATTTCTCTCTCTGGCACCAACCTTCCTTCAGTGACTGAATCACTCCCAAATCTTTTCATAGAGGAAGCTGCCATAACCCAAAAGGACAAGCTTAGAACTGTCATTTTAACTACTAGCTCTTACCTTTGGTTTAAAAAAGAAAGTGGGGGGCCATTGGTTGGGGAGACTTCTTAAAATTCTGGAAAATTCAGTCTCTAGTTTCCATTCGTAAAGCCTTTCACAGCTCTGGGTAAGTAACACATCTCATCTTAGGAAAGTCTGTCCTATGTATTGAGACTCATCTTACAAACAATGTTCTTTAAATAAATTTTTTCAAACAATGTTTTTGTGAGCTGTGGCCGGTATACAGACTCTCTTGCCAAAGACGACTGGGCTGTGATGCAAGAAAAGGACCTCAAGCCAGACTCAGAAATCTTAATTGACTGTCATTAAACAGAATTTTAGAACCAGTCTGTTCCCACCTTCACAAACTAACCCTCGATAACGACTGGTTATTGGGCAGTTCCAGAATTCTGACCCTTCAAGCATTATTCCACGTGGTAGAATTTCAGTGGAATGATAGAGCGAGTTTCAAGATTCGGGGTTGCTATTGCCCTTCATATGAGCTCTCCTAACGTTTTCCATGCAAACCAGATTTAAAGAAAAATGATATTTTTAAAAACGCAACTATCTACCAATCTTTGGAAACAGGCAAACAATCATCAACAACTTGGGCATTCAGATTGGACTTAGGTGGCTGGAAAATAAGCAAAAAGCAGAGAGGGACACGGGCGGCCACTGAGCAGCGCCTGAGGACATTACGGTAGGTAGTTCCACCCCCACGCCCCGCCTGGCGTCGGGGACCCCGCGGGACCCGAACGCGCGGGACACGGGCGCCCTGCCCGCCCAGTGTGCCTACCTGCCGCCGCCCTGCCGCCGTCTCGCCGCCCGCGTTCCCACGCTTGCTGCCGCGCTCCAGGCGATGCGCCAGCGGGCGCGCGACTTTTAAAAGGGAAGTAGGGGGCGGGCCCGGTGCGCAGAGCGACGGCCACACCGACCAATGGCGTCATCTCGACTCGAGCGGCCCGCCTTCTTTGAAGCGCTCGGCTTTCCGAGAAATCACTTTCCTCCCCCGGCGGCCGCGGCAGTGGGTCCGGGCCTCTTCTGGAGCCGCTGGCAGAGCTGCGCTCCTCACACCTGGGGTCCGGGGGCGGCGCTGCAGAGGGGCTTTCCCAGGAATTCGGGAGGCCCCGCGGAGCGATCTGGAGGCGTCCCCTGCCTCCCAGGCCGGCTCGGGCGGACAGCGAGCGAGCCCCTAGCAACGAGCCAGCCCCTAGCAACGAGCCACTGTGCAGACCGTGTGCCCGCAGCCCATTAATCAGAATCCAGAACCAGAACCTAGCTGCCCCGCCAGTCTCCGCCTCCACGAGCGCTGGATGTTGGGCAGTGACTCCCGCCACGCGTTATTCCACGGAGACGAGGACGCGAAGGCCGTTTACAGACCGTCCCGGGTCGGCGGTGGCCTGCGCTGCCCAGGAGGGGCAGGTGAACCCCAGCTCCAAATGAGGCCATTGCCCGCTGAGACCGCGATTGAAACAGGAGCATCCAACGTGCTCGCCACTAGAAGGTCCCCCTGGGGAAATTTTCATCATAAATCCTTTTCTCCAGAAAGCGTCGGCGTTAAGAAGAGGTCCCCTGTGGGACCAGCCGCTCCTGGGTGTGCACTGACATTTATTGTAAAAAATGAAGTGGAGGAGAAGGGGAACAACACTGGAAAAAGAAAGAAATCCCTGGAAACGGAAAAAGAAGTGTTTCCGTGTTCCGTCCTGGGGAAGCCCTGGAAAGGAGGGAAAATGAAGGTCGTAACTGGCTTTTATTGCCCCGTGGAGAATCACATATCGGGGCTGTTTTTGCATTGAGCTTTCCAAGGACCTGTGAAAATGTATGAGACTGAAACTTATTGGCTGCACAATACAAAAAGTATACTGCAAATCTGGAATTAATCAATGTTTAAATGACGGTCCCCAAAACATGTTAACTTCATAACTGTAATGTATTGATGGATAAATGTGTCATTATATTTTGAAACTGTAAGTTAGATATCACTTGGTATGAGTTCCCTAATGCCATGATTGCCGGGAAGTTTTAAGTCATTATAAAGTGAGTTCCTCATCATCAAATAATTTTAAATAAAACTATTGTTTTAACACTCATTTAAGAGTCTTTAGAGAATATGAGAGTGTTTTAATATGTTTGCTATGATGTGGGATGGAGCTTCCAGAAATCAGAGCATCTAGGACCTCAGAAGTTCTTAAAACAGCCTCTGTGTTTGTTTACTCTCATATACTTTTATCAATGTGCCCCTAAGCCTACACAGATTTACTTACAAATGCTGTCCGCTGTGGAAAGATGCATCCTCAAGTTTCCACTAGCCTTCACTTAGATAAAGACAAGGGTAAGTAAATATAGGAAATCAACAGTGGAAGGGCTCCAGCACGTGTCGTTGGCAGTAGGTGTCACTATGTACATTACAGGAACTGTGTTGCATTAAAACTGCTCCAGAAACCCCATATTTTCCACGTGGTGGTTCCTCGCTGCCTAGGAACAATTTCTAAACAGATCTGTTTAGTTCTGCTCTTATTTAATGGGCATTTATGAGGCAACTATTATGTACTAGATATAGTGCCAAGAACAGGAGACCCAAAGAATGAACATGATGTTTCATTCTTTGAGACACTCCTGCCCGGCAGTGTCAGAATCTAGAACCCAGCCTGGAGGCTCCACAGAGCCTGCCCCTTGGATATTGGGAGGCAAAAAAAAAAAAAAAAACCTTTGGTCCATGTGTGTGTTATTATTTGTCATATTACAGTGTGGTTCTATTCTTTATTCCCTGGAATTATATTTCCAACTGAAAGACCATTTTTCTGGCTGGGCACGGTGGCTCATGCCTGTAATCCCAGCATTTTGGGAGGCTGAGGCAGGCAGATCACCTGAGGTCAGGAGTTCAAGACCAGCCTGGCCAACATGGTGAAATCCCTGTCTCTACTAAAAATACAAAGAACTTAGCTGGACATGGTGGCACAAGCCTGTAGTCCCAGCTACTCAGGAGGCTGAGGCAGGAAGATCACTTGAACCCGGGAGGTGTAAGTTGCAGTGAGCTGAGATCAGCCACCGCACTTCAGCCTAGGCAACAGAGCAAGACTCCATCTCAGAAAGAAAGAAAGAGAGAGAGAGACCATTTTTCTGTGTACACAAGATTTCTGCTCATATAATGGAAACACAGTTTTCTTAGGTTTCAAAGAGCTTTCTTTCCATTTTAGTACACTGGGATCTAGCCCATTCTAACAGCTGCATATATTTCATTGTATATATTTGCCTTAATTTAGGTCATCAACTACCTAAACTGATTTGGGTGATCAATTTGATGACCTGAATTGATTGTTACCTAATTGAGCATATCTAGTGAGCTCAGATCACCGCTTCTGATCTGGGAGCTGTGTAAATACGTATGCACGTATGTAAAATCACCCTGTCATTTTTTCTTGTCATATAAATGACAAAAATGACTAAAATGGGCCAGGTGCATTGGCTCATGCCTGTAATCCCAGCATTTTGGAAGGCCGAGGCTGGTGGATCACAAGGTCAGGAGATTGAGACCATCCTGGCTAACACGGTGAAACCCCGTCTCTACTAAAAATAAAAAAAGTAGCCAGGCGTGGTGGCAGGTGCCTGTAGTCCTAGCTACTTGGGAGGCTGAGGCAGGAGAATGGCATGAACCCCGGAGGCGGAGCTTGCAGTGAGTCGAGACTGCGCCACTGCACTCCAGCCTGGGCAACAGAGCAAGACTCCGTCTCAAAAAATAATAATAATAAAAATTTAAAAAAAGACTACAATGAGGACACATGGCAATAAGTGGTTATCTCATGCAATACCATTTATTGCAGCAAAAAGATGCAGAGCACGGTCCCAGGTTCTCTGATCCTTCCTTCCAGCATCTCACGATCCCGGTAAATTTCCTCCTGGTCTCTCAGTGGCCTACTTGCCCTCCTACCTCCTCATCCCTTCCCTGTTAATTCTACTTTGCTACCCTGCCTTTCTGTCTTCAGGAGCTTCTCAGTGGTAGCCACACAGGTCTCCTCCTGGCATCTAAAAGTTATACTTACCAACCTCATCTTTTCCACATTCCAGCAGGAACCCCTGTTTCCATAGATGGCAGCCTACCACAGCAGGTTTGGGAGTTAGGCCCCAGTTCAAATCCAAGCTCCCTGACTCACCAAATGTGTGAGCTTGAGCAAATGACTTAACCTTCCAAAGCCTCAGTCTCCTTATCTGTATAATAATGGCATTGATGGTAATACTAGGTTAAATTCTGTGACATCACCTACATTCAACTTTTTGACCTATGGAAGGGCAGTTTACTATGGCCTAACCCAATCGTTCCTGCCCTTAGGATTGGTGGGCATTGAATGAGACAGTATGTGTGTGAGAGAGAGATCTCCTTCCTCCACCTTGCTCGTTAGCACAAGAGGAAAAGGTCAAATCGTCACCAATGAGAGAAGTCTAGAAAAATGGACAGTGATTCCTAACTCTAAGAATGCCAACTGCAGACCAGTGATAATCTGCCTCCATGAAGAATGGGAAGGGTTCCTCCCATCTGGTTAGCTTCCTAGTTCCTCTAACACCTTCCTGCC